CMCCMSCRKMKTRWTSAKCWGCTTGATATTCAACTGAGCTTTCAGAGGGAGTTTATTGAGATCAGTGTTGTTATCTTGATGGCATTTAACCCAGGAAAATGATGCAGAAATATGTGGTAWTTGTGCAGTTTGAAAAATCTGCTCAATTATTGACCTGGAAGCTGATGTTCTGTGAGAATATGGAGAGGAGCTTTCTGTGTCATCATCAGAGATTTCACTCAAGGGTGGAAGTTCTGCATCAATCTGACATTCCATTCAAGGGCGCAGTGTAAGATTCTGTGGTTTATGATGGGAGGCAATTAGTGTGACAAAGACAATGACAGAGAGCAATCCTGTACTAGCTTCTCCTTGAAGAGAGTTTCCAATACCACATCATGGACACCATATGCATGAGCAATTTGATCCCCAATGATATTAGCAAGAGACCACCCAAAGGACAGGCTTTCCAAGGCTAAATGAGGATATGGATTCTGGGTGGGTATTTGCTAGAGAATGGTGTTAATTGTAGGGGTCCAATTTTAGTAGAAGCAAGAGGGTGTGACTACCATAGTCCTGTGCTTGGTGAAGTCCAAATTCAATTGTTCCATGACAAATAAGCATTACATACCCCATTGGCTGCATGGGGAAGAAGATGCCAGTTACCAAGCTGATACATAAGCCTCGCTGAGAAATCTGTTGTTGATGGGAGCATGCAAAATATTTGTAAAAGCATTCCAACTTCTCCTTTCTGGATTAAGCTCATATGGATACTCAGTGGAAGGATTATAGAATTMTGGACAGTGACATGGTGGAAATAGACTGGGACACAATGTGTTGGTGYCAGGGAGGCACAATTCACTAGCTAAGCTGTAGAACTTTGAGATAAATTTGGTCAGAATTGATTTAACGAGCATGCATAGTTGAGCTTGTGAAATTTTGTGGACATTGATGAGCCTTGTAATGATAAGGTCGAGCATAATGGTTTTGTCACCACACCATAGTGCTGGTTGTATCAGGCCATTGTTATCAACATTGATTGCACCTCTGATGGTGGAGAGATAGGTTCAAACACAATTAAAAAATTTACCTCAGACATATGAGATGGTAATAGAAGGAGATACAAGAAAAGGTTTGGAGATGCCTGACATAAAACAATTTAAACCACCAAAGAACAATCCATAGAAGCTTGCCAGCAATGTCATTTGATCTCCAATGTTTCAAGAAATTGACAATATCATATCCTTGTATGTTGGTGGTGATTTCAAGATAAATGAAACCTGCTCCACCAACTGTAGTGGGGGCTTGGAGAATGACCCTGGCAATACTTCTTACATAGCCACAGAGTGAATAAAGGAAAGAGAAATATTTCCTTTCCAACACAAGCAGCTGAGCAGGAGACTAAAATGACTGAGCCAAGGGAAACTCAATTTCTGGATGCAACACAGTTTTGTAGAGCACATGGTATGCTGTTGGTCATTTTTGGAAGCACTGCTGGATTGCAGAGCAAACCAAATCAGCTTTGGAAAGAAGTGCAGATAGTTGAGTTGTATATGACCCACAMGGAGATTTTTTGTGTCCAAGATTCTTCTGTGTGGTGAAAATGTTCTTAGATTCAAYCTGCACTGGTTGGCCTTGAGGGTCAGTCAGAAAAATATCACCAGTAGAATGGAGTGCCCTGGTGGGGAGCACAATCAATAGAGAGTTGAGATTGGACATGGCATGAAACCTNCGGTCACGACCTTGTTGTTGTTGTTTCCGGCACTCGTGCCGGAATGCAATAACACCAACCCCATCCCCCAGTATTCAACCAAGACCTAGTGAAGAACAAGTCTGGAGTATATGCTATATCATATATCTTACTACTCAATTCAGAAGATTCCCCAGCACCTCCATGCAGTTCCCAGTAATTTACGGACCGGAAGAGGATTCCGGTCACGACGTTGTTTGTTGTTGATTGTTGCTTCCGGCATCCGTGCTGGAAAGCAATAACACCAACCCCCATCCCCCAGTACTCAACCAAGACCTAGTGAAGAACAAAGCGTGGAAGTATATGCTACATCATACATCATACACAGTTTCAAGAAGATTCCATAGCATCTCCATGCAGTTTCAGTATCAGTTCCAGTATTTTACGGACCGGAAGCAGATTCCAGT